GGCCTCTCCCGTTGCGGAGCACAGGCTCCGGACGCGCAGGCTCAGCAGCCATGGCTCACGGGCCCAGCCACTCCGCGGTATGTCGAATCTTCCCGGACCAGGGCACGAACCCGTGTCCCCTGCATCGGCAGGCGGACTCTCAACCACTGCGCCACCAGGGAAGCCCTAGTTTCTTAAAGATTTACATAACTCACGTCAATTCCACAACAGCGTTCTTGAGTCTTGTTTCTTTGCCAAGCATTTTGAAAGGTCTTGCTAGTATATCATCAAGGTGGAAAAGAAAATAATAAAAATGAACAGAGCCTTAGAAAACAATATTGGTAAATCTGTACATTGCCACACACACTGTTAGATCAGTGGCGAGCTATGGCACATACCACATATTCTATAGCCCCAAGCAAAACTCTAGTCACTTGGACTGCACTGACAAATCACTATATGCTCATTTTCCTAACTAGGAACACTAAACACAGAGCTAAATGCATTTTTAACTGCTAAGTACTGCTAAGATAGGCTACCCTAAAGAAACCAGCAGAATAGAGGGGTTCCTGTGAGAATAATATAAAGAATGCCCTGCTTCTGCCACTATCAGTGAAGTTTATTATGTTCAATCCTGATTCCTAAGTTTTATAATGCGAAAAAGTATTACATAAACATTTTCTTTTAAATATTTTTTATTTCCTCATGTAACATTTTCATTGAGGACATGCCAAAATATTGTTTTGGTATCACAAATGATCTAAATCTTATTAAATGGGAATATCAGTTCTACCTCTCTTTAATAAAAGATGACCAAATATATTACGGAATTTCATTAAGCTCTTGATAATAGATTGTTAGGGTATGCCTATTGCTAACATTTTACTAATTTAGTGTAACGCTAAGAGACAATGAGGATAAAATTAGAAGGTTAGTAAAGTATTAAAAACAAAATATGCGGCCCAAATGTAAAGAACAGATTTTTAGTTTCTAAAAATGTTGATTAAACCAATTCCTTCCCTTAATTACTTGAAGGAGGATAATGAGCTGGCATCAGCAGAAGAGTCCCCTACAGTCTATATTTAAGATTCGAGGTGGGGAGCCTGTTTAGAGGTGGAAAGGAGCTTAGAGGCTTCTTCCAAAACGCTAAAAGTATGTGCCCCACACTCCTTTACGGTTTACACACTGAAAGCTGTGCCTGTATCCTATGTGGAACACAGTGAAGCAAAATCTGTCCAATGACAGGGGAATGTTTTCCACCTCCTTTATAAATGCATGCAGTCTGTGCTCATGTATATTTACACAAGCCTGCTTTCCCTACAGGGAGGAAAAAGTCAGACTCATTGACGTTGCTTTTGACCCTCAAACTGAACTTGATACTATCAACGTACACTTTAATTAAAGATTAGTTCAACACTATTTTTTATTTAAAGGCTGATTCTGAACAAATGCCTTCACTGTTCAATTAAAAATAACATATGTATTAAACAAAAAATGTGTACATATTGCTTCTTTCTATGTTTGTCACAGTAAATACTTCTGACAGATGTTTCCTCTCTTTTCAAACACGCTAGGAGGTACTTGAGCCTTAGTAATTTAAAAATAGACATTAAATGCAGTTATATATTGTAAATAAGATCCACTGAGAATACAGCACTGTACAACGAAAAAAGAAAACTGTTACTTGATTAACTATCTTTCAAGCCTAAGTGATGTCAATAGAGTCAATCCATCTCTTTTCTTAATGTAAAAATAATAACTTTCTATATGGGTTAGAATGTCCTTAGCTTCAGATACCTTTAAGGAATGTGAATCCCTGGGACCCATAATTCATAGGAAATGTTCACTGTATGTTATTTAACTATTTATAAAATACCTACTACCTTTAGTTAGAATATGGAAGCATTATGTTTCTTTGAGTTAAAAAATGACCTTTAAAAACAGTACAAATAATTTGTTTTTACCACTGTTAAGGTTATGTTTGAACAGTTGTAACAACAGATCTCCTATGTGCTTCAAGAAGAATTTTTTAAAACTTAGATAAGACTTTTAGTCATGAAAACTCTGGAATGATCTTATATAAACTCATCTGCAAAGCTCTAAATGTCTTCAGTTTTGCTGTATTCAACCTAACCTCTAATTAACTTTTATATGCAAAATAAATTTATGTATCAGTAACGTAGATATAACATTAAGATTCTGGTTTGCAGTTCTCAAAGAACCCTTTGAAATTAGGACAACCCCCACCTCCCTCAAAAAAAAGCAATAGTGGTGAGCGACACAGTGTTTCTTTAGAACAGTGTAAGCTCACTTTTGTGACTTCTAGTCTCAACTCTGTCAATGGCTTACTCTGTGAACAAGAGTTATGTAAGATCTAAGTTATAAAAATTGTATTAGTTATTTTCCATTTTAAAATGTCTACTTTGAAAGCTTAGTCTTCATTACCCAAACAAATTATAAAACACAGTAGGACCCTTTGAGATAAGAATACTATCAGCCCCATTTTATACATGGGGAAAATGAGTGTTGCAGAAGTCCAGTCAGAGGGGCCCAAAGTCACAGGATTGCCGTGAGGCAGAGCTGGGACTTGTATCCAGGTCATTGACTGCAAAAGCCAAGCTCTTAACTACACTGCAAGGGGGTCTCAAAAACACCCTCAAGTACAGGCAGATAAAGTAAGGGAAGCAGGTGAGAATGTGACTGAGGTAAACTGGAGAGCACATGTCCAACTAAAGGCAACTGCAGCCTGCAGCTACTCAGCTCCAAAACAGTATAGCCAGGCAGACATGTTGAAGGTGAGAAATGAGACTAGCTAGCAAGCAAGATATCTAGATTGTGAAATCATCTGATTTTTAAAATGTTTTAAATATTGGATCAAGTCTTTTTCTTTAAAAATGTCCATTAAAGTGAATAAGAAGAAAAAAATCAAGTAATGCTAGCAAGGATATGGAGCAACTGGAACTCTCACACACTACTGGTGGGAATGCAAAAAATATTTCAGCCAATTTGGAAAATAGTTTGACATATTCTCACAAAGTTAAACACACACCACATTCAGCAGTCCCACTCCTAGGTATTTCCCCAGGTGGAATGAAAACCTATACTCACACAAAAATCTGAGCCCTAATGTTTTCAGTGGCTTACTCATAATCACCGAAAATTGGAAACGACCCAAAGGTCTCTCAACTAGGGAATGGATAAACAAACTGTGGTACATCCATCCAATGGAATACTACTACTCAGTATTAAAAAGGAATGAACTAGCAATACATGACACAACATGGATGGACCTCAAAAGCATTATGCTAAGCAAAAGAAGCCAGACTTCCGGGAGATCAGCTCGGCGCTTTGTGACCACCTAGAGGGGTGGGATACGGAGGGTGGGAGGGAGACGCAGAGGGAGAGGATATGGGGATATATGTATACGTATAGCTGATTCACTTTGTTATACAGGAGCAACTAACACAACAGTATAAAGCAATTATACTCCAATAAAGATGTTAAAAAAAATAAAATAAAGAAGACAGACTTAAAAGGCTACACACTGTATGATTCCATGACATTCTGGCAAAGGCAAAACTATAGAGAGAAAATATCGGTAGTTGCTGAGGACCTGGGGTTGACTACAAAGGGTCAACACAAGGGAATTTTGGGGGGGTGATGAAATGTTGCATATCTTTATTGTGGTAGCAGTTACATGACTGTTAGTGTTTTTCAAAACTGCTGAACTATACACTCAAAAGAGTGAATTTAAGTCTGTAAATTATACCTTAATTAAACAATGAGGGAAGTAGTTGACAGGTGAAAAAAAGCACCAACTCTATAAAACCCATTGATATAGATATATAACAAAACAATATATTTTCTTCACTGGTATGTGTGATTATTTTACAATATAAAGATAAGATGCCAAACTATTTGACACATTTAGAAAAAAGATAAGTATGATTTTAAGACCTACATCACGCTCAGTGAAATAAAATCTACGGCACTCTAAAACCAGATTAGACAAGAACTCCAAAGAAAGACATACTATAAAAATAGTATTTGGATTGTTCATAGGGAGTCAAGTTATTGAGATAGCAGATACAAAAAAAATGTTTTGCAAATAATGAAACACCCTACAAATAGTAAATAGAATAGTATGGTAAAAAGCACAAGTGTTAGGGTCAATCTGCCTGGCTTGACTCCTGTCTCTGCCACTTACTATCTATGTGACCTTGGACAAGTTACTTCAACCCTCTGAGCTTTATTTTTCTCAACTGTAAATGTAAAGTCCTCAAAGGGTTTTTGTAAAGACAAAATGAGAAAATAAAGTGCTTTTTGTAAAGCACTTAGCACTTAAGAAGTGCTAAATAAGGTACCTGTTACTAATTTATGTAATGTGGAAAATTGGAAGATTTTCATCTTCCATTTTGAATTTAATTGCAACTACTGGTTTCTTGCAGGAATTAGGACTACTCTAGAGTCATCAGAGGATTCGGAGATGCTGCTTAGAGTGGCAGTAGATAGGACAAGGGGGGTGGCCTGCAGTGGCTGGTCTTGTTACATCAGTCCTTTCTTTGGAACTTGACTGTTGGGCAACTCAGCAGGCAACTGGCCAGGCATTGTTAGCAGTGAAGTGCCTCTGCTGTGCCTGCACCTCCACCCCACCTCCTAAAGCAGCAGGAGACTCTAGCAGGCTAGGCTAGGGTGAGGTGTGTGAGGTGCCAGGGTGCAAAACATAAGGAGCCCTGAGCACCTAATTTGCCTACCCTAGTCGGCCCACCTTCCCTCCAGTATTCTTATTTCCACATCGCTCCCAACTCATAGATTTTCCACATTCTTCCCTTCCTCAGGGGGAAAAAATCTTTGTTTCTGCTTCCTTTCAAGCCTGAGAAGATGCACAGTTTAGTAACTAATCATTAGCCCTCACTATTGTTGTGTCCTAGATTATATATGTTTGCTACCTGTTGTGGATAACTTTCATTTTTGAAATAATTTAAACGCTGTTTTGTTTTGTTTTTTCTCTGTCAATACAGGAATCTCTCTTTGAAGGAATCTGAAAGCTTGCTGACAAAAAATGATGTATGTGAACCTCACCTTCTTCATAACTCAAAAGTAAAAGAAAATGTGTTTGTAAAACACCAGTAAATTCAGCCTTAAGCGATCTGAAACGTGTGACTCTTTACCTTTATAGTATTACTAGGCAACATCATCCTTTGTGGTTTGTAGCTTTATGGCATCTCATTATATAAGAAGAACCTTTTGAGTTCTTGTTTGATTTGCTTCTTTATAGAATCCGAAACAGTGCTTTCCAACTGCTTTATTCCTCATTACATACAATTCACAGGGGAAATAAAGGTGTGCTTTCTCATTCACCAAAAGAAAGTAATCCTTTTTTGAACCAACAGTATTTTGGTGTGCTTCTTTCTAAAGTGTAAATCGAACTACAGTTACTGAATGGGAATTGAGATGAAAACCTGAGGATTCTTTTGATTCACTAGTATACTTAAAGTGTGTGGAATTCTACACTCAAATACAATAAGTGCCACCATTACTATGCACTAGTCTGTAGCTCCAATTTTAAAATCTATGGTAAAGGATGAAATTATGTCAGGTATACAAGAGCGGTTTCATTAATGCTATTTTAAATTTGATATTCAGTCTTGACCGCAAAGAAGGTGTTTTAACGTCCTGCTCTTCCCCACGCAGGCACTGTTTTCAAGGATGGACTAATCACGTCGCTGGGAAATACGGGGCGTCCGCTCAGACTTCACCTCTGAAGGCGATGGGTCCAAACGGGCGGAAGCCACAGAGGGTCGGGGAGCGTCCAGGGCCCAGGCTTCCTGAGCGGCTGGGAACGGGCCTCGCGGGGCAGCGCCCCCTTTTCTCAAGGAGGCCGGAGAGAGCCCCTCCCCGCACGGCCGCCGGCCCCGCTCCCCGGGGGGGCCACGAGGGCTAAACACTTCAGGCGAGTTCCCCGCAGGGAAACTCCAAATCCGTCCAAATAGAGAAACAAAGCGGGGGCCCCTGGGGGATGGGTGAGGCGCCGGAACTTCGGGGAGAAGCGACCGCGACTGGGGGAACTTCCTAAGGTACCACAGACAGTGGGCGCGCTCGAGCTAAGTGCAGTTTATCTCTGGGCGGCTCAGTAAACTGGTCACGGAATCCCGAGGGTGGAGGGACTACGCTTTAAGCAGTTAGGGCAGCGGGAGACATTTACCTTGTGGTAGAGTGAAAGGTGAGCGCCTCGAGGCGGCACACTCCACAGTTCCTCACAGAAAGTTACGTCACGCTCAACAAAACGGCCGCGTTCCCGCCTCGGCTCGGCGCCGGCCTGGAAGGTGCCGGAGCTCAGACTGGGCCCGAGGCGGAAGGGCGGCGGCGAGGCGAGCTAAGTTGCGAGGCCGCGCTGGGGTCCTACAGCCCAGACCGCGGCTCTGCCCCAGCCGGCCGCCAACCCCGCGGGCGCTGGACGTGCGGCTCTCGGAGTCCCGCCCCGGGGAGAACCTGGACGCGGAGGGGCGGGGCCAAGAAGACGCCCCGCCCCCTCTGGCCCGGCCCCTCCCCGCCGGACGGTTGCATTAATGACTCTCCCGAGGCGGACGGGCTGCTCGGAGAGGACTGAGTCCCCTGCACGGCACCTCAGGTGCCTGCGGACGTCAGCTGGTCCTTCTGCGGTCATCCCACGCCGAGCTTGGCCAGCACGCACGCCTCGCCTCGCAGGAGCCCGCATAAAAGGCGCGTCCGGCCCAGGCTGGAAGCGGCCGTAGCCTTCGGCTGGACGAGGATGGAGTGACCGGCGCGGTCCTGGCCACGCAGAACCAGCTCGACGCTCCTCGCCTGCTCTCGCAGCGGAGCCGAACCTCGTACGGCCGCTCCAGGAAAGGTGAGGGCCCCGGTCCGACCCCCGCCGCGCTGCTCCCGGGCTTGGAGGGGTAGCGGGTGCCTTAGTCCCGGGAGAGGCCACCGGTCCCCCGCTTCTCCGGCAGAAACTGCACTGAGCTCCTGCCGTCGCCCCTCAGGTCCCCGGGCCTCGGGAGCTGATGGTGCGAGGGCGGCCGGCGTGGGCACGGCTGGCCCTGGCGAGGCAGGGCTTCCCGCCACGCTCCACGAGTTGACCAGCTTCATCTTTACTGCTGGACAGGCGGGATAGCGTTCCAGAAGCGCTAACAAGTTCCGAACCGGAGCTGTGCTTCCGAAATCTTTTTCCGCGGTAGCGTAGCCCTTCCGATTAATTTGTCGGCGGAAAGTAAAGCCGGCACCGCGCCCCTCCTCACCCTTCCAAGCAGCCCAGGAACACTCGGGCCCCACCACTCTCCCCAGACGCCGGGAGGCAAAAGCGCCCCAGTCAAAAGGTGCCCAACTCTGAGATCGCCTGGAGCCATGTCGGACGGCCGGGCACGGCGCGCAGGGGGAGCGGGAGGGCTGCGCCTCCCCGGGTTAAACTCGACCGGCGCCCCGGCCTCACCGCGCCTTACGTCCTTTGCAGGGCGCGCGGCGCCGGAAGCCGCTATGGACAGCGGCGGCCCCGCAGGCAGCCACCTGATCGCCAGCAACGAGCCCGCGCCACCGGTAGCCGCCACCCGAGACTCGAGCCAGGGACGGACCGGACCGGGGCCGGCGGGCCCAGGCGGCGGTGCGCGCTCGGGGGGCGGGAGGCCGGCGGCAGCAAACGCGGCGCGGGAGCGCAGCCGCGTGCAGACTCTGCGGCACGCCTTTCTGGAGCTGCAGCGCACGCTGCCGTCGGTGCCGCCGGACACCAAGCTGTCCAAGCTGGACGTGCTGCTACTGGCCACCACCTACATCGCGCACCTCACTCGCAGCCTGCAGGACGACGCCGACGCACCGGCGGATCCCGGACTGGGCGCCCTGCGCGGGGATGGTTACCTACACCCTGTCAAGGTAGGCGGGCAGGGCGCACTGCGGAGCCGAGGCCGGGAGCATGGCACCTTGACCGCGGGGTCTGCCCCCGCCTGGGCAGATACCGCCCATCTCTCACCCCTCCTTCAGGGTGAGGCGGGGAACAGATCAGGAGAGCGACCTTGGCCCGCGAAGTCACCCGTAGCGAGGTCCACACTGCACAAGGCTGCTCCTTGACGGTTTGCAGGTAGAGGGCTTAAACCCGGGCTGGCTTGGGTAGGGGAGTCTCAAGCCCCTTATAGGATGCAACCTACAGGATTCCTTTCCTAGATGAGAAGTTTCTTGCGGGTGCCTGGTGGGGTGCTTGGTTGCACGTCCTGATCATTTTTAGTGTCCGAGTTACATTTATGAGCCTTTGAGGGTTTTAAGTTTACATCATTGTTACCATTGTGGTGTTTATCAAATATTTGAAAAGTTTCAGGAATTAAACGGGGTGACGGAAGTATCTGCCCCTAACTAATGCTAGGAAACCAATGTTGAAAATTTTTTGTAAAGCTGGTAAAAACAAAAGGAGACGATTCTGCGTCCCCACACAGTAAATGTTCAGTCCGTTTTAATGAAGGTTAACGATCATGGACTAGACAACCACCAAGAATGTTAGAAAAACTATAATGAGTTTATGTGATTTTCATAATAAGTTAGCATATATGTTGTGTTCTGATTAAATATTCAAATTACATAATGTACAAAATTATCCAAGAGACTTCCTCTTGTATTTTTTCATTACATATGGGTAGAGTGGTCAGGGTTTTTGTTTAATACGGTATATATTATGATTCATTACCTATATTGCAGTATTTAGACTCTCATCATCCTTTTCTCCTAGATTTGATTGTTTTCAAATCTTACATTGATCAGGTTTTCTGTTCAAAATGGATCACCTTCCCTATGTTTTCTAAAACTAAATATTCAAATTTTTGATTCCACCATTCTGAAGCATTCTCTCTTTCTCTCTCTCTCTCTCTCTCTCTCTCTCTCTCTCTCTCTCACACACACACACACACACACACACACACACACACACACACAATTAGGACTTTGCCTTAAGTATATCAATGTTCAATAAATTATTGAATAATCATTGTCAAATTGAGGGTAAAGTACATCCTCTAATATTTACTGAACTTAAAATTCTGTGGTAAGGTTTAATAAAATTTACTTTGCACATTTAATCAACATGATGATAGACTCAAATTAGTTCAAATATTAAGTATAAAAATTTGAGATATCATTTATTCATAATTATGATAGATTATTCCATTCCATTCATGTGTTGTATAACCTCAGCTGGAAAGTTATTCATTATTAATTAAGGGGTTTTGTATTACTATTGATATTAGATGCTACTAATCTGTTAATATTAGATTGATATTAGGTACATTAGATTGCTATTCAAATATATCATTAATATTAGATTTCTTTTGACTTGACATTATACTCTAAGGAAGTTTATTTTAACATTAAGTAGGCTTTAATACAAAAGACATCTGTTAAATGCCTCTTTGTGGGAGAGAGAAATCAGATGAGAAATCCAGTTGTTTTTCACCTTAGTTTCTTGCAGTGCTTTTTTGAATGAGTGATGTTAAAACCATAATTTTCATGTAACAATAAGCTTAACAAGAGTTTTTTTGCCCTGACTCCCTTACCAAATGTTTTTGTAGTCATATAACTCTTTAAAGAAAAATTAAATCTCATTTGTCCTCTGAATCAATTATTTTTATTTTAAAAGACAATTCTAGGGATAATGAAAGAAAGCCAAAGATTACCTCTTAAAAATGAAATTGATGATAGTTGAACAAGTGACTAGTCTATTTTAAAATCATTTACTGAGTGCCTGCTTTGTGCAAAGCACTGTTAAGAGAGTGAATGCAATTAAGGGTAAGACTCGATCCCTGCCCTAAATGAGCATATAATAGAGACAAAGACAGATATATAAATAACAGTATTATAAGAGAGAATGTAGTATGTGCCATAAGAGAGGCTATAACCATATGCAGTGGAGGTGCAGAGGAAAGAGATTTTACATACATAATTGAAACTGCCTGTGACACATTATTTTACAGAGACTACCAAAATGCTTAAAAATTAAGTCTATCATTGATTAATCTAATGCCAAAAAATAAAGATATTCTGATTATTTGTACTTTTTGGTTTACATAGTTAAAGAGTGTTCCAAAATGACTTTTTCTGCCCTACAACGTAAGGGGGTCTTTACTCTGATCAAAGATCCATTAACAAGTATTTCAAGGCCATAATTTTGAATCATCAGTTCTTATTATCAGTATTGGGAATTTAGCACTGTTAGCATTGTTGGGAATTTACATTATGAGTACCTCAAATGAAACTGGAAGGTTTAAGAGACTGGAATCCCAGGGCATAGCCTAAAACAGCAGTTTTTATCCCTTCGGGATGTGAGCAGTTCTGATCAGCACCAGTGTCTGAAAGGGCAGTGCTTCTCCAAGGGAACAGGGGTATATTTCAGATACTTACATTGAAAGAAAAGCACAGATGGCTTTATTAATTGCATTACCCCTGGAGAATCATTGTTGATAATACAGATAAACAATAATTTCAAAAAATAAATACAAAGTTTTGTTATTTTGGAGTCATTTAACTCCAAAAACCAGGAATATATTTTTAGTCTTCAGTTTGAGGTTCAGTTCTGGTTAATTGTATGAGTTTGCTAGATTGTTCTAAGCTAATGAAACTACATAATTTTAAGTATGACTTATTAGGTAAAGTAGAGGTCAGGACTGTGTTAATCTACACAATGCTAAAACAGACCATTGAGAAGTAAAATGTAAATCAGTCACCTGGCTTTTTTGGCATGAGGCTGACATGCAACCTATCCAATATTGTATTTATATTTTTATTTCTGACTCTCAAAGCTATTTATGTATCTACATTAAATTCATTTGAATAAAATCATTTGAAAACGTTTTGAAAATCCAGGGACACAAAGTTAGTAAAAAGGGAAGTTTTATTAAGTCCATGAAAAATCAAGCAAAAATCCACATATACATTTTTAGATTTGCTTCATAAATTACTTACATACTAGCAAGGCTGTAAAAAACAGATGCCTTCACTTGTCTCCACTCTTGGTTGCATGATTTAGAGAGATTCTCAGTACAGTGGAACCCAGGTAACAGAGAGAACTAACAGGGAGCATTCAGCAGTATTTTTATCTTATTTATACTTAGATGTGTTTAATGCACATTCTCAAATTATTATCTACATTTTCAAATGTAGAATTCTCACATTACATTTGAGGTTTGAGCATGAGATTTTTATGCTCATGAAAATGTGGCAGGACTGTAAAAGATTGAAAAGCACTGGTTTATAATATGCCTAAAATTCTGCACTTGAAATTGATGACCTATGTGCTACACTATTTGCTATATGTGAATATTAGTCTGCTCAGGCTACAATAACAAAATACCATAGACTAGGTGGATTAAACAACAGAAATTTGTTTTCTCACAGTTCTGGAGGCTGGAAAGTCCAAGATCAAGGTGCTGGCCAATTCACTTCCTGGTGAGAGCTCTCTTCCTGTCTTGCAGCTGGCCAACTTAACTCTTTCTCAAAGAAGGGGAGCTCTCCCCCTTCTTAAAAGGCCACTAACCCTATCATGAGGGACCCACCCTCATGACCTCATCTAACCAAAGTTACCTCCCCAAAAATCATCACGTTGGGCGTTAAGAGCGTCAACAAATGAATTTGGGGGAACACAAACATTCAATCCATAATACCATGACACTGGATTTTTCAGTATAATGCAGGCCTTAAATATGATCTAACAATGCCAAATCCAAACATATAAAAAAATCCCAGGCTAGTTTCTAAAACACTTAATGTTACCAACTGGTAGCAGGGATCCCAAGAATAGGATCAACATGATATACCCAGAAAGTACAAGAATTCACATCTATGATTTAAAAAAACAAAACCTGAAATGGATTTGCAAAAATAAGTAACACAGTGTCAGTCTTATTACTGTATCAAACATAAAATACAAGTTTGTTTATAAAGGAAGATTATATAGGAATGGATCATTTAAATTCCAAGTAACACAGATGTTATATTTAATCTGTGTTAAAGTGTAGATTCCCAGCAGAATAATCTGAATTTAGGACTCTTAAATTCACTTATCCCATCTGGAGAAATAAAAATCACATGCCTACTTATTATGCCTGTGGCTACATTTTACATCTGGAATCCCAGTTTAGGTGACAGTAACTGTATTCGGAAGTATAAGGAAGGCTTATATTATTCCAGATAAGAACTGACTCTACCTTATACTTCTCCAAAGAGGTCCATTCTGATTTAAGTGGCCTGGAGTGTGACTTGGCCATCAGTATTTTTTAAAGCTCCCATGTGATTCTAATATGCAACTTGTGTTGAAAACCCAGAGCTCTTACGGACTTTGGATTGTTAATAATTGTACCTCTGTTTGAGCACCGTGGATCATCTGTGAGGCATTTAAGAACATTTCATGGTGCTGTGTAACCAACAGTCTGCCCATGAATGTTTGCTGGTGAAAAGAGCCTGCTGCTCACAGCATCATTTACTCTCTGGAGAGTGTGGGACCCCACTGCTGACCTTTAAGAGTTGCACTCTTTTAGTCTAAGGACTTATCTTTGTATTAAAAAAAAAAAAAAGCACTATTTCTCTGATTAGTATTCCAAGGACCTTAGAACTAAAATTATATGACCCTCCTCTCTTAAAAAAAAAGAAAGTCCATCCTAAAAGTACTACCTATGTAGTATATTTTTTCATCATCGTGCCTGTTTGGAAATTAATTGTATTGTTTGAGAGGCTGTCCATTTTAAAGGTAAATTTAGAAAAGACACCATCAGAATACAAATGTGATGATTACTGAAAGGTTAGAGCTGTGTGATGCCAGTACAAGCAGTCATTTAACCTGGATGTTCTAGCTATGTAACACCAAACATTCTAATATGTGCAACTTCAAGATATTGCTTTTAGCTAGATAAAATGTTTAGATAGTCGAATTAGTCACTTTTCATTGTAGTCCTTTGACAAATGTAGATGCATAATACTTAACACATATAACTTTTTTTTTTTAGTATTTTTTAAAAATTTGATTTATTTTTGGCTGCGTTGGGTCTTCGTTGCTGCGCGCGGGTTTTCTCTAGTTGCAGCATCCGGGGGCTACTCTTCATTGCGGTGCGCGGGCTTCTCATTGTGGTGGCTTCTCTTATTGCGGAGCACAGGCTCTAGGCGTGCAAGCTTCAGTAGTTGTGGCACACGGGCTCAGTAGCGGTGGCTCGCGGTCTCTAGAGCAGACTCAGTAGTTGTGGCGCACGGGCTTAGTTGCTCCGTGGCATGTTGGATCTTCCTGGACCAGGGATGAACCTGTGTCCCCTGCATTGGCAGGTGGATTCTTAACCACTACACCACCAGGGAAGTCCTACATATAACTTTTAAAAATATTTTTAGGGCTTCCCTGGTGGTGCAGTGGTTGGGAGTCCGCCTGCCGATGCAGGGGACGCGGGTTTGTGCCCCGGTCCGGGAGGATCCCGCATGCCGCGGAGCGGCTGGACCCGTGAGCCATGGCCGCTGAGCCTGCGCGTCCGGAGCCTGTGCTCCACAACGGGAGAGGCCACAACAGTGAGAGGCCCGCGTACCGCAAAAAATATATATATATATTTTTAAAGCCAGGGATCTTGTTTTAGGCTTAATTTTGTTTTAGGTTTAGTTTAACATTAAAACATTGTGGGTAGATATATTTTCCTACATTTAAATATATTCATTCTCCATGATTTTTTGCAGTTCTGGTCCACATGCACACGTATTATTTCATATAATTATAATCAAAGTCTGGGTATGTTTTTACTTTTATTATTAGCACTAATAATTTTATTATTAGCATTATTTACTTTTATTATTAACATTTTTTTGTGTCATCACTTAGACTTCATAATTATCATTGTTACTAGCTACATGATATTGCATTTGCATTGAGGTATTTGGAATTTTTAATATTACTATTATACACTATATCTGTCACACATACTAACTTTTGGATTCTTGTTTAAATATTCTTTTTCAGAAATGGCCCATGCGATCAAGATTGTACATTGGTGCTACTGGTCAGTTTCTGAAGCATTCTGTCTCTGGAGAAAAAATAAATCATGACAATATTCCAACAGACTCACAGCCTTAGGCTCTCCCCTGAGGGAGGCTGGTAGAAAGTGATGTCGTTGTTTTTAAATGATATGAAATAATTCTATATTTATTACATCAAACCTAACAAACATCATTTCTGAAAGTTTACATGTGAATCCATAGTTGGATGTTCAGATTTATCTAATCTAAATAAATGTGGAATGAAATAATCAGTCTGGTAAATAATGTAATAATAATAATGTAAAACACACAGCTTATCTATTCAGTGTGAGAGAGTCACTACTATATAGTGCAGGAGAAACTAATGGAAAAAAAGAAAGAGACATAGGAAAGCAAAGAATTGTGTATGTATCCAAAGAATACACACATTTTCTGTAGTATATCTGTCACAAACTGAAAAGCTAATATCTATGTATACAATCTTCCTGGTTTAAAAAAAATAAAAGCTGGGTTTGTAAAACACCAGTATTTCACTTTTGTGAAAACCAGTCTGTGCTTAATATTGGTCTAAGAAGCCGTTCCACTTGGAAGGTCTCAGATCATTTATTCAGTTTTAGCTGAATATGTGTGAAAAGACTGTTGAGGTAATATGACAATGCAGCAACTTCTATAACTATTTTTCCCTCTTAGAAAACTTGGAGTATTAGAAATGGTTTGCTTCCTAGGCCAGGGCTTGGCCACCTTCCTAGAGTATTATTAAATATCTTATTATGTTTCCAAATTGTGGAAGGCATTGGAAAACCCTGCAGCCCTGTGTGAACAGCAGACGGGTGTCACTGGGCAGCAGGGTTTGTCACCCTCCCCCCTGGTCACTCTATATCCACCCCACTCTCTTTGAGGTCCCGGACTAGGTAAACAGGTGCAGCTGTAGCCCTGTAGAGAGAGTGGCACATTCAGGCCTGTCAGGGGCCTCCAGCGAACCCCCGTGACCTTCACAGTCACAGCTTTGGCCAGGTCCCTTCTCCCCATGTCAGTTGCTGTTCACAGTCTACCTACTTGGCCCTTATGAAATGGGAGAAATCCTGTCTGATTTGGGAATTCTGGCGCTGATCTGCACCTTGAGGGGGTCTGAGGACACAGAGTGGCCATCCTGTGATACAGGATGCCCTGATTTGGACCTACAAGCAAGGAAAGCCCTCTGCTATGGGCCTCTCCCACTGCCCTGCACGTGAAGTGTCCAGGGAGCAGCTGTTCTGCCTGACTGAACCAGTGCTTTCAGTTTCGCCAGGAGCCTGGGGGGTCCTAGCTATGAAGTGGAGACATTTGTCAGGGAACACACTGAATCTCAGAACAACAGGGTGCAACAGAGACACCTGGAAAAAAAAAAAAATCATCAGTCTCTTTTGTCATGTCTTTGCTGATTTAGATTCCCTTTTATCTCCCCTGTCCAGGTGTAAAGTTCATTCATTTCTCGATAACCCACAGTTTTAAAGTTGCTGGGTTTCATCCAAGATTATTAAATAGAAATGTGTATGAATGGACTTGGTTGAATTAAGATAGCAGCAGAACCACCATTTCATTTTCTCCTCCGTTTAACTCCAGCTTTTGGCAGTGAAATGAAGTAAAAGACTATCTGAAGGCAAAAACTATCATTCAGTTGATTCGAGGATGATCATGTTTTGACTCATGTCTTACAGTTAGTTTGTAATTTTTATTATTTTAATGTGAATATACTCCTTGTAATGTGACCAAAGCATGTCTTTAAAAGAAAAGCCATACAATGAAAGCTGTCTACATATTAATATGTAGCAAAAATGTTTGTATATTTAAATATTTGTGAGTATATTTACCTACTCATATACCATTGAAAGGAATAAAAAGTAAAATGAGATGGATACAGCCATTCACTATCATAAGTTATTGGAATAAAAAGTGCTAAGAATAATCTTTTATCTTAAGGTATGAAATCAGAACTTCTTTAAAGTTACCTGGCACTGAACTGTAAACACTAAATGTGCTAGCAAGAATTTCAGAAAAAAATGGTTTTATCACTAATAATCTATTTGGTTATAGTTGTTAAAGCATTTAACTGGGGAAAAATTATGACTATTGTTGAATTATCAGACTTTTCTAAATCCTCCTGTTAAATCATTAGTCATTGTCTTAAACAGTATTACTTTTTATTTCTTCTTGTCCAGTTACAAATGTTTTAATGCCAAAGAACTATATTTCTGTCATAGGTTTTCATAACATTTTATTAAATTGCTAAATATGCTAACAGCTTTTGGTAGGTTGGGAAATCTGAGGTGAAATTGCATATTTTCACCCAAAGTTTCCAAGGAGCATGCTGTTTTGATTAATGGTGCATGGTCAAGATAAAGGATAAGATAAAATAAAGCACTAATTTGAAAAGTAATTTAGTCTGCTAAATTTATATCTGTCTCTATGGTCGTTTAACAAATAATGAAGGTACACTTGAAAATCTTTCTAGAAGATAGATACCTACTTGGTATTAGCTTCTTCAGCATGCTGTCCTTAGTGGAGTATATATAATAGGGCGGGGAGGGGGGTATATTTGGATCACAGTATTATCCCATAATCTGCAAGGGAAGTTCTCACTTAAATTTCTGTCAGTTCATTCACCTCTCTCAGTAATAGTCACAAAAAAAACATTTACAATTCCTCTATAGTGATAATTTGGGGGAATAAGGAAATACCTTTTTAGAAGCAGAACTAGTTCCAACAGACTTTAAAATATTGTTTCTTTTCCTGGTTGTAAAAATACTTGTAGTGCAGTTTATTGTATGTCAGTTATATATCAGTAAAGCTACATTAAAAAACTCAAAAATATAACTACCATATGACCCAGCAATCCCACTACTGGGCATATACCCTGAGAAAACCATAATTCAAAAAGTCATGTACCACAATGTTCATTGCAGCACTATTTACAATAGCCAGGACATGGAAGTGACCTAAATGTCCATCAACAGTTGAATGGATAAAGAAAATGTGGCACATATATACAATGGAATATTACTGAGCCATAAAAAGGAACGAAATTGAGTCATTTGTAGTGAGGTGGATGGACCTAGAATCTGTCATACAGAGTGAAGTAAGTCAGAAAAAGAAAAACAAATACCGTATGCTAATGCATATATATGGGATTTTAAAAAGCAGTACTGATGAACCTAGTGGCAGGGCAGGAACAGAGACGCAGACGTAGAGACCGGACTTGAGGGCACGGGTGGAGGGGACGGGGAAGCTGGGATGAAGCTAGAGAGTGGCATGGACATGTACACACCACCAAATGTAAAATGGATGGCTAGTGGGAAGCTGCTGCATAGCACAGGGAGATCAGCTGGGTGCTTTGTGACCACCTAGAGGGGTGGGATAGGGAGGGTGGGAGGGAGACGCAAGGGGGTGGGGATATGGGGGTATATGTGTACATATGGCTGATTCATTTTGTTATACAACAGAAACTAACACAACATTGTGAAGCATTTATACTCCAATAAAGATGTGAAATAAATAAATAAAAATGGAAAAAAGAAAGTATATACGTAACTGTTTTAAAAAACAAACTTGGGCTTCCCTGGTGGTGCAGTGGTCGAGGGTCCGCCTACCGATGCATGGGACACGGGTTCGTGCCCCGGTCTGGGAAGATCCCACGTGCCGCGGAGCGGATGGGCCCGTGAGCCATGGCCGCTGAGCCTGAGCGTCCGGAGCCTGTGCTCCGCAACGGGAGAGGCCACAGCAGTGAGAGGCCCGCGTACCGCAAAAAAAAAAAAAAAAACTTAATAACAAAAAGAAATGAAGTGGAAAGTAAAAGTCCCACAGTGGAGGTGGGTGTTTGGGATAGAACAAAGGTGAGGATATCTGTTTCACATGTTACTTGGTGATAAAAAAAAATACTGATTTTACATTTTGATAAGGGTTTTTTGACCCAACTACTTCAATCTGCAGAGTTACAGATATCCTAAACAGTAATTTTCTTATCTATTCATGGAGATTTTATTTAAACTTAGAAGAAGCTGTACGAAATAAATAAATAAATAAATGCTGATTGTCCTCACTGAAATACACAGTATTTTAGTTGAAATTGCTTTTTAGGCTAAATTATTCAGTAATTTATCCTTCTTTCAAAAGACCTCATTTTATATTCACAAAAGCAACTAACCAGTTATTATCAGAGAGAAATTATGCAAGCTCTAGTAAGATCTCTTTTTTGGTTTGGTTTGTTTGTTCGTTTAAGGGGGAGGGGGAGAGGTATAGAGTTAATTCTATATATATTTTCCAGCAGTATTTAATCTTCTTCTTTAGTCCTCGGTGTGTCAATAGTGCCATTCTGAGGAAATAATCCAATACAGACAAAATATCTCCACCGTGGCCAACATAATTCCCTTAGAAATCAACACATGAACTGTATTTGGCATCTTTTAAGACAAATTGCTTCCTGGCTTTATATAAAATTGTATTCTTAGCTGGCAGGGAGAAGAAATGATAAGTCAAACAGATTGCTTCTGATCCAAATTCATGTATTAGATACCTTATTTTGAGAGAGGGGTTTAATCTAAATGCTCTTTCCCAACTCTGTATAGCTCATTGCAAATTATATCAATCATGTAATTTATTTGAAAACCTATGAACTTCAACTCTTCCAGCATTAGCAGATTCTGTCTTAATCTGATGACAAACTCTTTTTTTAAAAAAAAATCATTGATGCATGATGTGATATCTACAGTTTCCCAGATGACTTACCACTAGTAGTGTACTATTGCTGTCTTTCTCCATGGTACACACTTTAGATTTTTTAGTTTTGTTTTTCTTGTTATTGTAACCAAAAATATACAAAAGCTAAGATTCCAAATGTTTGAAAGGAGCACTAGGGGAATAGTATAAAATTGTATATCTCAAAGAAAATTAATATGTACTTTTATTTTGTTACATACTGGTGGCTCATGGTCTTATACATGACTGTTTCACTGAAAAAAATAAATGCCCCTTAAATCCTATAGATTTGCTTCCTATAAACTTTGAGTACAGCACAGATGGTACTGCAGCACAGTTGGGAATGAGGGACATTAAATATTCTTGCCCGACTGCATAAACCCGGGAAAGGCTTCCCTTCCTATGTTTACACAAGTCTTAGTTTCAACTCATAAGAGAAACCAGCTCAGTGAAATATACCTCAATCACTCAAACTCTTTCATTATAAATTATACCATAGCATTTAGCTGTCAGAAGCTTTTAAATTATAAACTGAAGAATAATCTTAACTATTAGGCTTAAAGATTATGTCAATAGTCATTTCCTGTGCACATGAATGTTCCTGAAGAAACACGCATTCCTGCCCTCTCAGGACCAAGAACTATGTCCATGGGGAGGTCTGGGGATGGGCTTAAATCACTTGTCTCTGTTTTTATGGCCATTGAAAACTGGGGGCCATTTAAAACAATGTGAGGTCTAAATAAGAACTGATTTTAAACCTTATTCTCAAATAAGTTCTGAAATCACTCAATTAAAAAACTTTAAATGTGTGCTGTTATAAGGCATCTTAATACTTTACATAGATGGGTATATCATGTGGGTCAAATTTTTAAAATTAAGTTATATAATTTTTAAAGGCCCATGCAAGACTGTCTCTATTCTGTGTGTAGCACATCTGCACCTCCTGCTGACTGTAAGCCCCTAGACCAGAGTCTTCTTGAAATGTGGGCAATAAACAAGAGAAAAAAAGTGGGGTGCAATGGCAGAGACAGGAGAGTCAAGGGACGGAAGAAAGGTAGGAAGCAGGAAGCTATTTCCATATCCTCCTTTCAGAAAGAGGAGGCCTGTTCCACCCGTGTCCCATCAGGCTACAAGTGTGATGTTCTGGGACATACAGGAGAGGCTGCCTTGGAAAAGAGACCTGACTTCAGGCCAAGCCCAATCACTCACTGTAATAAGCACTAGTGTTTGCCCTCAATAAACTTCCCTTGCCTTATCTCTTTCTTCCCCTAGGCTCACAAAGTTGATGTGAAATAATAGCTAAGAAAATACATGTCAGCAGCTCAAAGCAAGACAGGTTTGTCTTCTCTGGCTGGGTAGATGTTAGAAGAAGGTTAAAGATGGCAAGGTGAAACGTGACACAAAAACACAAGAAGCCATAAAGGAAAAACTGGGTAATTTTGACTATAATAAAATAAATTCATAAAACAAAAGAAAAAAACATAAACAAGGTGAAAAGACAAAAACAAACAAACAATAAAAAAACCTAGAGAAAAAAGTCACAACAGATGATAGTCACAGTAGTAATTTCCTTTATATAAAAGCAGCTCTCAGAATTTAAAAAGACCAGCAACTCAGTAGAAAATTCCACAAATGATATGAGTAAGTGGTTCATAAAAAGAAATCAAACAGCTAATATCTTTATGAAAAGACACACAACTCACCTATG